AACCCAATTAAATATTCTGAATTACGATTAAGGACTTCTGTACTGTCTAAGAATAAGCTTACTGAACATGAGGTACACATTTAATTATTAAAATAAGATATCTATTACTACTGGGAAGCTGGAAACAGCAAGCTGTGTTGTATGTCAGCAGGGTCATTACTGTGGCCGTTAAATGCCGCTGATTCTGGTGCTATATAGTAGATGCGGTCTACCTGCCATTAAACAAATTAATAATATAGCGTTCGTATCTACTATAAAGCACTAGAATCGGCGATTGCAGATTGGATGAAACAGCTGTCTGTGGTCAGACGAACGAACACTATTTTATTATTTTGTAATGTAATGTAAAAGGTTTGATTACAATTGCTGGATGTGACTCAACAAGAATGACCATGGTGTTTTTGAAATAGTTCGTCTCTCTATGAGGAGAGGATTAGAACCTTAAGTTCTGGCCGAGAGTCATCACTCTGAGGTTTCAGCATTTGCAGATTCATAAATTTGTCTTATGATTTTTACGCATGAAATTGTTCTTTTGCCCGCCCTGTATTTTAGAAACTAAGCGGTACTTCTAACATCGCTAAAGACACAATAGTTTTAAGGTATCCGCCCACTGAGAAGGGAAGTAGAGAGAAGTGAAACCTATGCACACAATTAATTGAGTTTTTACGCACTAGGGCGACGCGAAGCGAACCGACGTGCCTCGTTTGACATGTACGAATAAAAAATGTCACGGTTCTTTTCCCATCATTCCGGCTGAGAGGGCGTGCGGTTGAGAATATTCAAAAGAAAGAAACCTTGAATGTTTGCCACAAGTTTTGGAAACTCCTGTGTAAAATACAGTGTAACACAACAAATGTCATTTGACATTTTTGCTCAAGCACAAATCAACGAATGACTTTTTCACATAGAGAAGAAGAAGAGATGAGAGAATTCTTCATATCAATTGGTCTAAGCCTAGTTCATATACTCGTAGATGCGAATCGCGATTGCGAATAAAACAAATAATACTCCTATTTGTCAATTTAGTGACAGCTTTTAATTTCAATTCATTGCGATTCGCAACATTTGAATTGTAGTGGCGGGAATCTTGAGAACCTGTGAATTTCTTGCGATTTTCATCTACGAGTTTTCTGTCAATGCTGTCAAATCAGGGGTTGGCGCATGCGCAAACCAAAATTGATTGGTTTGTTTACTTCATTTTCGCTTGCTTTAAAGTATTTCCATGAGAGTTTTCTGTATTTCATTATTACTTCTTTTCATCTTTGAGTCTGATTTCTTGATTGAAATTGTGGTATGTCCCATGCTGTATTTAAAAATTTCCGATCGCCCGAATTGATCTGTTATTTCTTGTCTTTAAGAGTAAACACTCAGTAATTGCTTGTCTTCGACGACAAGGAAACATCTTTCGTATTCCACCCAGTATAAAATAAACTATAGAAACATTATTTTTATATTTTTAGAGTCTACAGAACGACATAAAATTGTCACAAATTAATAACAATACCCACAGAAACGAGCAAACAAGCCCAACTATAGGTACTACAGTATGCCACCGAAAAATAAAAGCAAAATCGGCATCTACATGAACAGTGTCAATTTTCAGCAACTCGATTCGCATTCGCAATTCGCGGTCCGCGTTATATGAGCTAGGCTTAAGAGCTGGTTTTTCAATCGCTGGTTAACTTTTAAGTTTGGTAACTATAACTTTTAGTTGTCCCTAATTTCGTTTTTCAATCTCTGGTTAACTAACACGTTACGGTTGATCTGGCAACGCTGCCTCTACGTCTAAAATATCGTGTTTTGTGCTTTTTGTGACGCTCATGTCACTGTCAAGCAAAAAAGGTTAGGAATTGCGGTGTAACTACAACTTTCTAGTTAACTAGTAGATGGTATCTTCTCTTAAAGTTAACTACCGTTTTAGGACAAATCTGACATTGAAAAACACATTTTAAGAGTTTACTTCTTGTTAGCTGTAAAATCACAGATAATCTGCAATTGAAAAACCGGGCCTAAGGATGTTCGGTGAAATCGCGGTAAAAGTGTGACGTTTAAAGTTGTCGTCCAACTCTTATATCATTTCGACAGTCGTGCTTCGTCGGCATCGGCAGTTTCTTTTTTCTCATAAGCCATTATAAAAATAGCGAACTAACCTGCGAACGGCACTACCATAATCGTCAAATAGAACCAACGAACGTTAGAAATAAGTATGAAGCTAAACCCACAGGCACCGAACAAGTTTACTTATAAGGCTCGGTTCTAGTGTGTCGGCGATTGTGGTAATAGGTGAAATGTCCGACTAAATCACTACTGAAAAGATACTGGGACGGGGCCGTGTACCAATATACAGCGCCGGTCTTAAATGAAAAGCAACGTGAAAAAGTAGACATGGTAGTCCAAAAAATGTCTCTAGGTATATGTCGTGGCCATATCGTAGAATTGACCATTTCATCAAATGATTGAGCATATCATGAAATGGTCAACGTTTAACTTTTTGGTCATCCACGTTTGAATATATCGTAACATAGAATACTTAATAAAAATTTAGAATGTTAGAAACTTGTTTATTGTTCTTTAAATATGACAAACATTGTTATTAGAACTACTAAATTTAGGAAATCAGAATATTATAATTTTATTAAATCAATCTCAAATTACACAAAGTCACAAAGAAAACTGTTGAATATATCAGATATCACAAATTCATTTATTACCTCGCTTGATCACCCTACTATCCTTTTTATTTGACGTATAACCTGAAAATGAAATAAAAATTAAGATGAGTTTTACATACATAGAATGATAAAGTAGTTTAATAAACAAACTCAATATTTTAGCTAGCATACGATGTTGACTTCAAATATAATAATAATGTAATATAAGAGTGAAGTACTAACCTGTGAAACACGTCCGCAGCTTTTTGACGTTTTGATCGGTATTTGCTGTTAACGACCGCCGTGTTGAAATGTAAACAAAGCGCTCCCAGCGCCTCTATCGGTTATTGATTTATTTTGAGACTTGATCAAACATGCTTGCCAAAACATTAATATATATATATATATATATATATATATTTACCACAACTCATTAACTGCGGTACCTTCAATCCCCATGCATATGATCCTTACCTTGGATAGCTGTAATAGCACCCGAGGCTGTTTGTCGCATCCTAAGTGTCAGGTGCTATCCTTATTTTGACCTTTTATTTGATTCTTTTTTTTCTTTGCGGAATCCATTCAAAAACTTTCACTGGTAATATTTCTTGTTTCATGCTTTTCATTTGGCCGTACTAAGGTACCTGTTTCTTTTCGGCCTCGTCTGTTACTGTATTGTCTACTTTCATTCCTTGGCGCGGCCTTTCGACGTACTATATATTTATGATCCATTAAAGTTCGAATTCTGTTTCGCATAGAGGGTCCAAGCTTCGGAGCCATAACTAGTACAGCTTTGTATAAATACTAACGACTTAAACATATAGATTTTCGAAGGCTGCTGATATGTTTGTTCCATAAGTCAATGTTTAATCTACTTGTTACGGCTCTCTCTTTACCTATCTTGTTCACAATGTCTCGATCATCTATTTCGTCGTTAGTAATTATCTTCAATAAATATAATAATACTCATTTGTGTGTTTTGCTATTTTGCCGTCTACGAGTATTACGATACCCATGCCTTCATATCCCGCCACCATATATGAGTCTTTCCTAAAATCATCTCCCAACCCCAGCCACAATATTCCTCCACAAGTTTCTGCCAGAACCACTTGGTCGTCAGAGAATAACAAAGTGTGAACAGTTCTCACCCCTATGTGGAAACTCATATTCCTACACTTCTTTGTCCATCTTTCTAAGGTAGAATTAAGATATGGCTTGAACAGAGTGGGCGATAGGCAACAACCCTGTCTTAGGTAATCTTTTGTTCTTCCATTGCGACCCATAACTTATTCACTGTAATATTATCATATGGTTTTTTTAATCTATAACAACAAGATGTAGTTGGCCCCCATAAGCCAATGCTTTAGGCAGAATAAGTTATCAATCAGTACAGGCCCTCCCGTTCTAAAACCTGTTTCTTGTATTTCTTTCAATCTTTCCCCTCAATACTCAATATACTTGAACCTCTGTAGTTTGAACAGTCTTTGTCTTTGTGTGAAGTTAAAAAATATGTTTTTTTATGATAAATTAGAGTAGCGCTGGTATTAAGGCCCATCTAGCGGGAAGTTGGCAGGACTACAGTACCGTGTCTTGGATATCGGGGATTCCCCACACTATGCGAGAAGTTACTTTCAAATGTGAGACCGTCAGCCAAAAAATATTTTTATTTCAACGGAATATCTACACCAGAGCTTGATCCCGTCGTTGATGACTTACATGCTCGGGATGGAGGTTTGCTTATGTTCAATTTACCCCAAAAAGAGAGTCGAAAAACATTGCAAACATCTTTGGGACTACTCGTATACCTCTGTTATCTATGATCACCAAACTGATGCATAAATAAAGATGCTTGTCGAGTACCTCGAGGTCGCCGCTTTACTAGTGACAAGCAATATGGTTTCCGTTATCAGATATCAACTGGAGATATCTCAGCATGCGTCACACATTTGCAAAAATAGCTCATCAGTGCTCTTGACATTAGAAATATCTTCGATCAGCTGTCGATATTCTTTTATATCTAGAGTGTCGGGATTGTTGAGTCATTTGCCAGTAAAGGTTTTTGTAGTTCCACTGTTCTTGGATAGTGTCAAACATCGAATCATGATGTCCGCAGCAAAGATGAAAATCCAACAATTTGAATTCTGTGGATCTTGCACGTAAACAACATAAACTTAAGCTCAACGCTACAAGAGAGGATAAATCTTACTGAGCTGAGGTTAGTTAAGTTGTTAAACTGTGTGTAAATGGAATGCAAACTTGAAGCAAACAAAAACATATTCCTTTTAAGATTTATGAGTCTTTGATTATAAATATTTTACTCATAGTAAATATAAATAGAAATGACAATTCTGTTTTTAAACTAGTTGTGGAAAAGAAATGTTTATTTTCATAAATTACATACATATTTGATTTTTCTTATTTTTTTTCAAACAGCAATTTAATAATCAAGCTGAAGGGGAGGAATATCAAACTTCAAGAGATAAAACTTCGCAGTCTTCTCTTCTTTTAGTATGCTTTGACGTGATGTATAGTGAAGCATAACTGAATATTTGGATTGGCATTCGAATTCGTGAATATTTTCAGTAGATATTCGCATTCGCAAATCACTGAAAATTAACATTCGTTACTATTAAGGGTTAGGGATAATTCTGTTTTGATACTAAACTAAATCGTGTAATCTCTTGCATAGCGCTCTAAAAGCTTATCATCTAGCCGATAGCTTACATGTTTTACAATTTTCTTCAACTCCAAACACCCTTCAACTCTCCGCTTTATTATCTAACAATAATATAGATTCTGAGAATGCCGAACTAACGGTACCAGGGGGTCCGCTTTAGGGAAGGGATCCGGTTTAGGATACTTTCCTCTATTAATACCCCTGTATATCATCGATTGCTTTACGTAGGACATATTTTCTATCTAACTTATCGCAGAATGTAACACTTTAGAAGACATCAGACCTTGTTAAATATATCCTTATCGACATATCAAGTGCCCTATAAATTGTCACTGCTTCGGAAATTTATATTCGAGATCGAGACGCTGCGACGACAGCGACTGCTGGAGAAGCGGATTTTATATGACAAAATTGACTGTTTCCTCCTAGCGAAGGGGTTTAAGATTGTTAGGATGTCAGCTATAAACTGGGCAATTTTCCGAAAGCCGTAATGATTGGATAATACACTTTATTGTTTCATTGAGTCTATTGGCCGAGACAAACAAGTAAATGAAATCCTCGTTAGTTCATGTACGCGATCGAACACTGGAGAGCGAAATGAGGAACTTCCATTGACGCTCCCAAGGGGGCACAAGAGAGGGAGTACTTCCCCCCCTAGACGACTTGAGCTATCTTTGTACGGAATGAATGTATATGTTACGGGTAAAGTTAGAGTAATGATTAACCTTAGGTTTACCCGGGTAAACTGCATAATACCTAGACATCATGGGTAAAGTCCAAAATATTACTGAAATTGTAAATGTTTCGGATTTTACCCGGGTAAACCGCGTTTTATCCACTTTCGTGTGGTTAATGTTGAAAAATAACGCCATAAATGTTTTAAAAACACATTTTATTGAAAGAACAGATTTTAAAAATCAAAGGTTTCACTGAAACTGTATCATAACAAAGTTCAAGATACTATAATCTATTTGTTTAAACAAGATAAGCTGTTATGACATTTTGAGTTACAAAGATCTCCAATAGCCTTACATTTACACTTATTGGTCATGCATTTAGTTTTACAGTTGCATCGTTTGTAACGTTGACCTCCTAAAAGAGATTGTTCGTTTGCAAACTTTTTTTCTCCAGTGATACACTTTCCATATCTTCAAGTTTCTCATTACACACAGAAAATTGGTACCTGGAAAATATCTCATCGATAGTTCCTCTCTTGTTTGCTAGCTTATAAGAATCGTCGTCAGCTTTTTCGATTACTGTCATGAGAATATTTCTAAAATCACCACTCCCTCTATCAACGTCTGGAATTTTCACTCTCACTGTATCTCCACCAGAACATGGCGGAAACTTTGAATTAGACAAAGCTTTCAATTTCTTCTGATGTACTTGGTTTGTCATACTTTGAACATTTCCCCTGATTATCTGAAGTTTCCATATTACCAACGTTTTCTCTATAATAATAATAATAATAAAAGGCCCAATAGAAGGCATCGCCTGTACATGGACCAATAAATTTAAGTTGAAACTGTAGAATGCAAATGACAAAAAAGGACAAAAATTAGCTACAGTAGATTATGTATTTAGTTGATGTTCGTATTTATGAGTTTATGAATTTCAGTCCTAGATATAGAATGTAGCCACTTTTTAAATTTCTTTTGAAACAATTTCCGAAACGTAAATCTTTTAAGTCTTTAGGTATAATTTCATAAAATTTATGCGCTAAATAGAGATGTGATCGCTGCATTATAGATTTATGCGGTTGAGGAACTACTGTGCCACGAATTTTGTACCTGGTATAATGATTATGTTTAATTTTTTGGTCGGTGTTTACAAATTTATGGTAGTGAGTGATACTGTGTAAGAAATAAAGCTGTCTTATATCATACATTCGAACATTTGCGTATAATTTTTCAGTGGTATAAAGTTTCGGTTTTTTAAATATCATTTTTAGAATACTTTTTTGAAAAACATCTAAATTATAGATATGTGAGGAACATGCAGCTCCCCATGCTAATATACCATATGTGAGATGAGGCTCAATCAGTGCATGGTATAATGTTCGAAGATATTTTTCTGTCAATATATTCCCAAGGTATTTAATTTTGTAGGATACAAATCTAACTTTCTTTAAAATATAATTGACATGGATGTCCCATCGTAAGTGAGGATCCAAGACCACTCCAAGGTATTTTATGTTGGGCACTCTATTAATTTGCATTTTTTGATCATTAATATTGAAGGAGAAATTTGTGTAATTATGTCTAGCATAAGATCCAAATGGTAAAAAATGTGTATTAGAGTAGTTAATGCTTAATTTTCTACTGTTAAACCACCGAATAATTTTGATAAAATCATTTTCAATTATATTTTTTAGATCAGACCAGTCAGTGCCTTCATATAATATTGCAGTATCATCTGCAAAACTAGTTATTTTGCCAACACAATTAATTTGGAAAATATCATTTAATAATTATTGTTGATATTTTGCATATTTCCATCTTCAGTAATATTTTCTTGCATGTTATCTGTTTCTGGGTTACTGTCCATAGATTGGTCTTCATTTTGTTCTTCTTGAAGCTCGTCACCTTCACCAACTTCCTCCACAACTTTCTCGAGCTCTTCATCGGTTCGTAGATTTTCAATAGCTTCTTTTGGAAACGCCGATGTGGATAGGCCGACTTTAATATCATACCCAAACATGGCAGCATAAGGAGCTTGTTTTATCTCGTCATGGTATGCCCTATTTTTCATTAACTGGACAAATCTTATACCTTTTGACCATCGCCTGAAGTTTTAATCATCCATCCACGTCATAAGCATATTTTGCATATCTTGATTTGCTCTTTCCACGCTGCCTTGTGACTGACTATCACGTGGTTTGCCATGGACTATTTTAAGTCCACTCCACATTGTACATAACTCTTCAATGACACGGTTGGTGAACTCACGGCCGTTGTCCGATTGTAGTATGGATGGGGCGCCGAAAATACAAAATATGTTAATGCACGTATTTGAACAAACTTAGTTAAATGGTCCTGATACACCATGATAAATTTATATTCTCCATCTGGATCTGATTGCATGTCAATCAGGTCCACTTGACAACGGCTGTTCATCTCCGAAAAAACCATCGGTTTAACCACAAGTCCATTTTTGGCAGATTAGTTTTTTTGGCACCCTTCACACAAGCGCGGATATAACTTAATAACATCTTGAGTTATATTCTTGTACTTTTTCTTACAGTCACTTTCCATACGATGTTTTCCACCATAATAGCTAAATGTACATCGTGCAAAATGTCAAACATTTCATCGTTTGTAATATTATATTTTCTGCTAGATTCACCTGATGATACACGAGCAATAAGCTTTTCAACGCCTCTCACAGAATATATGTCAAACCTCTTTAACCGTCGATATTGTAGAGTAGTCTTAGTTTTAGCATTTTTTGCCAACTTGACTGATTCTAACATTTCTTGGTATTGTTCATTATTAAAATAAAAACTGTTTGCACTTTTGACAATTTGACAAACGGTTTTTATTAATCACAGCTGTCAGAATACGTTTAAAAAATAGTTTTGGGTAGTTAAGGTTTTCAAAATGGGTAGAGGAAAGGTTATTAGTGAGAAAATTCGGTTACTGATAATTAAATTTTTTAATCCTGGGAAATCGAACTTTGTTAGACTTATCGCGGTACAGTGTGAGAAATATTGTTAGAAGAGATAACGTAACTGGTTCAGTTAATATTAAGCCACGATATGTGAAAAATAGTAATATTACAAATGCCGACCGAGGAGCATTAAGAAGAATAATCGTGAAAAACAGGCGTGCCAATTATTTACAATTAAGTGCTCTGTGGAGTGACGCTGTTGGAAGGAGAATTTCGAGGTCCACAACTCATAGAGAGGCCCACAAACTGGGATTTAGCACTTTCAACGTAAGTTTTCTTATAAAAAAAAGTGAAGTAAAAACCCTAAAGTTGCACAACTTGTTTATAGGCTATTAACTCCACTGCAAAAGAAAAATCGGCTAAGATGGGCTAAAGAAAATAGACAATGGACACCTCAACAGTGGTGTGCAATAAATACAATGGAGTGATGAGGCCCGATTCGAAGTTTGTGTTGGTGACAGTCCCAGTAGAGTTATTCGCAAAAGAAATGAAGCATTCCATGTTGACTGTCTGAAGAGAAAAGTGAAATTTCTAGCATCCATTATGGTCTGGGGCAGTATGTCATCAAAAGGAGTAGGAAAACTTCATTTTATTGATGGAAATGTGAATACCAACAAATATTTGGCAATTTTAGAAGAGTCGCTTTTACCAGTGATGGAAGAATGTTTGACATCCGGCCAAGATTTTGTGTTTCAGCAAGACGGTGCAGCGTGCCATACCTCAAGAAAGGCTATAAAATGGATGGAAGAAAATAATGTACCACTTTTGAAATAAGTTTCTAGCAGTCCAGATCTATCACCTATTGAAACTTTGTGGCACGAGATGAAAAAGGTTATAAAGGCATATTTTGGTACAAATCTTGAAGTGGGCCAACTGAAGTGGGAAGGGGCTCGTATAGTAAACGATTGTATGTCTATGAATGTAACTAAAAAAAGAACATAATGGTACTTGATGTCAGGGCATTCATTCATTGATCCTATGCTGAATTCCTAGAAGATGTCTGAGATGTTATTAGTATTTGATATATCAATATTCTTGCTATAGATGTTAAAGAGAGACACTGCATTATTGGTGAAAGATCTATAAAATAGTGATGTTGGATACATAGGCATTGTAAAATGGTTCTGATGTCTTCTATTAACATTATGTATACTTGACCTAGGGACCAGCTTTTCTACTAAATATACAGGATTCTTAGAATATAATACACGATTCAATGTTGTTAGGTAAAAATATTTGAACAGAGAATTGATATTAAGTCATTGTAAAAGCCTGAAACTACTAGATATGGGGTCAAATTTATGGAAGTTACAGACAAATCGGCAACAGTTATTCTGCAATCTCTGCAGGCGCATTTGAGTCGAATAGTCCAGGCATGGTTAAAAAACTATCAAACCATAACTGATAATTGATAGCACTAACTGAGGTTATGTTCAATGTTATGTGTTAAAGATTTTCTGCGGGTCCTTTCTGAAATGAGGTTATACTTAAAGTTATAAGTTATACATTTTCTCCAGTTTGTTTGTGTCTTCAAAAACTTTGAGAAGCAACACAGAAAATCACCACCGAGCCCGCGCTGTGTGAAATTAAGCCACATGACAGTTAAATTAGCAATGACGCAGCACTCACAAAACATGTTCGCAGTGCGTCACATCAAGGCGCTAACTTATATTTTCTGTTTGACATCGCAGAATAAATTTCTATAAAATTTGAATGACTGGAAATAAACAATAATGTATAATGTAATAACTTTTTTACGTTTCATAAATATTCATATCTGTAACAAATTTACTTACCTGTTAGTTGCAATATCACCAACCAGAGATTTTCTGTTTTCATCTCTCCCATTTTTGAAATTCAGCAATTTTCCAGGATGCATAAGAAAAAATGGAATCTTAACTAATTTCTAGCTTCGCATACATCTCAAGTCAGTTATTTGAGTCAAGAAAACAAGGGAATTATCCTAACCACAGATTATTAGTACTCACTAAACAGTATGCCAGTTTCCTTCTAACTATAGTATACAACTTAGACCTCGAATAATATCTGTAGCAGATGTTAGATCACATCAGAGCCAAATCATGATATCTCAACCATCATGACCTTTAGGCAATACATACAGCTACGCAACGAATGCATATTAAGTAAACAACAGCAAGGTCCAAGTTGACATCTTAAAGGAAAAGCTATTTCTTAGCGTATAATAAACATTTTTTCTTCTCTTCTTCAAACTTTACTGTACTCATTATTATGAAAAGTTATCAATCAATTTACAGATTGTGAACAAAATATTTGAAAAATTTCAAGCGGTATATTTTGCTCAAACTGTCAACACCGCAGAATATTGCAGTACTGGTTACATATATTCAAGTCCACTTAGCAAACAAATCACAGACCGTTCCAAATTTATTATCAAAATGCTGAACCTAGAGCAAAGAAAAAATCTGTCTGGCTTCGATGACGGCATGTTACAGTCTACAATAAAATGCAAATGTTAAGCTCAACAAAAGCATTCCTCAAGGAAGCGTTATTGTTTCTTCAAAATCCGAGGTGAGATCAATCTTCAATAGGTACTCAATCCTCAAGGAACGTTTATAAATGTGACTCAAGGAAACCCTCCTTAAAAATATCCGTCGACTACGTTGTGGTGTTGAACCGATTTTGTATTTTCGTGTGACAACTATTATCATATGAGTAAATATACTCCCTCATTTATTATTCCATTTTTC